TTTCTTATAAAGTTGGGACGCAAAATATGGAAACCTATTAAAACATTAAGATAGTGTTCCAAAGACTTTGATAAGCCACACATAAGATGTCCATTAGACTTGTTTTTCTTTATCAATCTCTGAACCTCTCTTTCATGAACTCATCCATCTTAAGATGGTTGAATAGAGGCAAATGTAATGGAAAAGGCAATAGAATGAAAATACATCTAGTTTAGCAATATTAATTGATTCCTTTGTGTATTCCCATTTATGCATTTCATCAAAAATTATAGTTACTGGAATTTATTTTAATTTTAAAAGTTTCTTTTTGAACTAATGAAGTAATTTACTTAAATTTAAAAAATGTACACTTAAGAAACAGAACAAAATTTTAATTCAAAATATTGTAAATATGTGATAATGGTCCCTAAAGTAGCTTGGAGAGGTAGCATAATTTAATAAAAACACCACAGGCTTTAGATATCAGAAGATCTCAATTCTGCCAATTACTGTGTAGCATTGGGTACTTCTCTTATCTTTATAATCTGTAAAATAGATATATTTTATCAAATATAAGGGAGTTACTCAGTTTTTAACATTTATAAAATTCTGGATATGTCTTAAAATAGATGATGTATATATTATATTTAATTGGCTATATTTTTTCTTAGCATAAAATAATGCTGCTCTTTATAATTTGATGTCTTAATTAAATGAAATACAGTATAAATGCCAACTTTATAGAAATGTTTTGAAGTTGGAATTGGAAAATATATGTAAAGTGTGAAGCATATGGAAGATATTCATTAAGTCCTAGTTTGCTTTCCTTTTTTTCTAGTAATAGTTATTTTGTTAGGTTTTCTGGTTGGTTTGGAGGTTTGTTTTATCAGGAGAATATTAGATAAAGACTCGTGGTTCAATATTGTAATTTTATACCTCAAAACATTTTGTATCTGTCTTGCTGAGACACTTTATCTTTGCAGAAATGGCTGTATTTTGGAAAAATTGCTGAATACTTATATAGTGTTCACTTTATGCTGAGCAATGTCATATATATATATGTATGTTTAAACACTCAGATGAGATAGTGATGAATCCTATTTTTACAAATGAGGAATCTAAAGCAGAGAGAATTATTTACAGCTAAACCTATAAACAAAGTAAGTAAACAAACCAATAAAACAGAAGCCAAAAAGGTAGTAGTATGTGGAAACAAGAAACTCAACCCCCTCCTTGCATATATTAGCCTGATAACATTTAGAGTAGTTATTTTTCAGATGGAAAGAAAGTTTCACAAGGTTTTAAGTCTTGACCCTGCAACTGACTAATGTGGAATCTGAATCCAAATGGTAAAGATTCAGCCAACAACTTATCCTTTCCCCTCTGAGTGAAGGAACATTTCAGTGTCTCAAATAATATAGGCTGAGGCAATGTAAGAATTGGCAAATTTTATCCTATTGGCTGCCAAACTGTAGTCTCTTTCTTTAACTGCTGATGCAACATAAAAATAACTTAATGGATTTTGAGTAGAGAGAAATGGAATAAACTTCTTAAGCCTCTGTGAGAAACATTTCATTGGAGTGGAAATCTAGAAGCTAAAGTAGCCAAAGTTTACCCCTTCTTGTAGATGAAGTGGATGGAGACGAAAACTAATGCATCTTTGGCAGCTTTATTCTGAATTCAATCTGATAATGGCAGATTATTTTTGAAATATTATTTCTGCTTAAGATATAATCTTCCCTTCTCCTCACCCCCCAGGAATAAAAAAGTTATCAGCAGCGTTCTAACATGCTTTGTGCTATTGCTTCAGAATGAGAAATTAATCCTAGGAAGAAGAAACATATTTAGAATACACTATATTCAAATTACACAGTCATATTTTTCCCAAAAATTTTTATTACAACTGTATTATGCTTTATGTACAGAGATATCCATCATATATTTATGAGGGGAAAAGTGAAAATAACCTAAGTAGGTAACTATCAGATAATGGTTAAGTAAGTTATAGTACATTGGTACATGGAATGTTAAGCTGGTTTTTAAATTAATATTTGTAGGACTCCTGTTCCTGGGCATGGAGTAATAGGAATGAGATTTACCCTTTGCCAAAACAAGAAGAAAACTAGACATAATAGATAAAACAATAGTTTTTAGAAATGGACTAAAAGTTGTATACAACTAGGAGAGAAGGGAAACAGGAGCTGTACAATCGCCTCAGCTTATTGCCTGGAAGCAATTTTCAGGCTACAGTGAAGGGAGGGCGGATCCAGTTGAGCTAGAAAATGCAGGACCAAATACTAGAGAAGATGTTCCTGCAGAGAGAGAGAGAGCTCCAAAGATCTGCAGAGGTGTCCCTTTGACTGAATACTAATCTGTGTGTGTGTGAAAGGGAACTAACAGGCTGGCAAAAGAATTACAAGAAAGCAGTAGGCCAAACCATTCTTGGAGCTGACATAGGACTGAGAATATTTCATTTCCTACTAGTAAGAGTGGAAAGAAAATGTAATATATGGGGCATATGGTAGAGGCCTCAAAAGGATTTCATCTCAATGGTGAGGCTAAATTAAGCTCTAGATTGAAGGCTGCTCTGCCCCTACCTTAACACAGCTTTAAAGTGAGCCTTGAAAGGATCAGATTGATTCCACATAATTGAATTCATGCCAAAACAAAGTCTAACATATTTTAAAGGCACACAACAAAACCAGCAAACAAGAGTGTAAAATTTACAATGTCTGGTTTACAGTAAGTCTCTCAAGCATTTGAGGACAGCAGCAAAATAGCACCCTTAACTAAGAAAAATACCTGTCAATGAAAGCAGAAATGATAGAGATGAAAACAGCTATTATAAATATATTCTATATATTCACGAACGTAGAGGAAAACATGAACATAATAGACAGAGAAATGGAAGATACAAAAAGCCCAAATGGAACTTCTAGAGAAGAAAATAATATCTGATATAACACACTGGATAGGATTAACAGAAGTTTAGATATTGCATAAGAAAAGATTAGTGAACTTGAAGATGTAGCAATTGAAACTAATAAAAATCAAGCACAGAGAATAAAAAGACGGAACAAAAATGAACAGAAGCCTAATGAGCTATGGGAAAATACCACATTGGAGTCCCAGAAAGAAGACAAAAAGCAAGCGAGAAAAAAAGAAACAGTTTAATGAATGATAGCTGATATTTTAAACATTTTATGAAAATTATAAATCAGAGTCTTTCATCCTTTGCAGCATTAACATTTGAGGCTGGATAATTCTTTGTTGCAGAAGGCTGAACTATGTATAGCAGGATGTTTAGCAGCAACTCCAGTCTCTACTTACTAAATGTCAATAGGACCATTCACTTGCAACAACCAAAAATTGCCCAAACATTGCTAGATATCCTTGGAGGAAAAGAGGGGGCAAAAAAAAAAAAAACTCCCCTAGTTGAGAATCACTGCCATAAACCCATAGATCCAAGAAGCTCAGTGAACCCCAAGCAGAAGAAGCACCAAGACACATCATAATCAAATTGGTGAAAACCAGTGAAAAAAATCTTAAAAGCATCCAGATCAAAAAACAGAGGAACAAAGGTAAGAACTACAGCAAACTTCTTTTCAGAAATCTGAAATCAGTATGGGCAACATCGAAAGGAAAAAACTATCAACTCATAATTCTATACCATTTAAGACAGCTTTAAAAATGAAGGTGAAATTTACTTAACATGACAATAGGCATTTATGAGAAAGCCACAGGTAACATTACATTCAATGGTGAAAGACAAAGCTTTCCCCTTAAAATCAGGAATAAGACAAGGATACCTGCTTATACCACTGCTATTCAGCATTGTACTGTAAATTCTAGCCAGAGCAATAAAACAAGTAAAAGAAATAGCATTCATAATGGAAAGGAAGGGGCAGAACTAGCTCTGTTGACAGGTAACATGATTCTTACAGAAAATCCAAAGAATCTCCCAAAAAACTACTGGAGCTAATAAATTAATTCAGCAAATTTGTGAGATACGAGAGTAACATACACAACATACAAAAATCAGTTGTGTTTCTATACACCAGCAATGAAAACCCCAAAATGGAAACTAAAAAAATAAATTCATTTACAATAACATCCAAAAGAATAAAATGCCTAGGAATAATTTTAACCAAGGGGTGATAGGTTTTACACTGAAAACTATAAACCATTATTAAACAAATTAAAGAAGACCCAGATAAATGGAAAGATTCATAGATCGGCAGGTTTTATATTGTTAAGCTGATAGTACTACCCAAGTGACCTACAGATTCAATGCAATCTTACCAAAATTCTAAATGCCATTTTTGCAGAAATGAAAAAGTCAGTTCTCAGATTTAGATGGATTTGCAAAGGACCCAAATAGTAAAACAATATTGAAAAAGAACAAAATTGGAGGATTCACACTTGCTATTTCAAACACACTATAAAGCTGAAGTAATTATAACATTGGTACTGGTATAAGGATAGACTAGTACAGTGGTTGGCAAACTGCGGCTCGCGAGCCACATGCGGCTCTTTGGCCCCTTGAGTGTGGCTCTTCCACAAAATACTTCTGTGCATGGGCCACAAAGTTTCAATCGCACTGTACGTGCGTGCCCGCACGTGGTATTTTGTGGAAGAGCCACACTCAAGGGGCCAAAGAGCCGCATGTGGCTCGCGAGCCACAGTTTACCGACCACTGGACTAGTAGAATAGAATCGAGTCTAAAAATAAAACCTCATTTTTATGGCCAATTGATTTTAAATAAGGGTGTCAAGACTCAATATTGCAGAAGTGGGCTTTTGCAGAAGTTGCAATTTAAGCCTTTCAGACAGTGATAACATCCAAGTTCACTGCTTCCACATTACATTTTTTGAAGAATCTTTTAGTAAATTTTTTTTTTAAATATATATTTTATTGTTAACTAGTACCTTCAAGAAATGGTGGACTGTCAAACTTTTAGTAATCCTTGGCAAAGTAGTGTTTTGTAACTAGTTTTTTTCTACCTTTTATCCCTCCCACAGTCACCAGAGAAGAAAGGAAAAGAAGCAAATACTGGTTTTGGCGGACCAGTTGTTAGTTCTCTGTATCATGAAGAAATCATCAGGTAATTTTCTCTTCCGGTCTTTGATAGTAGGGATATCTATCTCTATCTGGATATATATATTGTGTGTGTGTTTATATATTTTTGATCCTGAAAACTTTCATTTGTGAAGAACTTTTTCTTAACCTGAAACTGATTTGGTGGTATATATAGAAAGATCATAAATGGCAGGGAAGGATTTTTAAGGTGTATAATCATTAAAATCATTGTGTCTGAATCATGGCAGATAGTAACCCTTCCCACCATATAAATATTTGGTAGGGCAAGGGTTTGTGTCTCAGAGAATCTAAAGCTTTGGATTTTTGTTGTTAGTTTTCCTCAAAATACCATTATTGTAAAGATTTTCATTTTTATAGTTCATTCATTCTAGCTGCAAATTAAAGATCACTTTGCAATATAAAACGGTACACTAAGGGAAACGTTGTGGAGGTTCCTCAAAAAATTAAGCAGACAATTACTATGTGACCCAGCAGTTCTAATTCTAGTTCTGTATCCCAAAGAATTTAAAGAGAATCTGACAGACATATTTGGCACACTCATGTTCATAATAGCCAAGAGGTAGAACCACCCAAGTGTCCATTGATGGGTGAATAAACAAAATATGGTATGTATAATGGAATATTATTCAGCTTTGAAAAGGAAGGAAAATTCTGAAACATAGCTAGAACATGGGTGAACCTTCAGGACATTATGTTAAGTGAAATGAGCCAGTCACAAAAAAATAAATACTATATGATTCCACTTATATGAGGTGTCAAGAGTATTCAGATTACAGATATAGAAAGTAGAATAGTGGTTGTCAGGAGCTGGAGGAAGGGAAAAGTTGTTATAAAAGTTTCAGTTTTGCAAGATGGAAAAGTTCTGGAGATTGGTTGCACAACAATGTGAATTTACTTAGTTCTACTGAACTGTACACTTAGAAATGGTTAAGATAGTAAATTTTTTAAAAATATATATTTTATTGATTTTTTTACAGAGAGGAAGGGAGAGGGATAGAGAGTTAGAAACATCGATCAGCTGCCTCCTGCACACCCCCTACTGGGGATGTGCCCGCAACCAAAGTACATGCCCCTGACCGGAATCGAACCTGGGACCCGTCAGGCCATAGGCCGACGCTCTATCCCAGCCATGGGCAAACTACAGCCCGCGGGCCGGATCCGGCCCGTTTGAAATGAATAAAACTAAAAAAAAAAAAAAAGACCGTACCCTTTTATGTAATGATGTTTACTTTGAATTTATATTAGTTCACACAAACACTCCATCCATGCTTTTGTTCTGGCCCTCCGGTCCAGTTTAAGAACCCATTGTGGCCCTCGAGTCAAAAAGTTTGCCCACCCCTGTTCTATCCACTGAGCCAAACTGATTAGGGCAAGATAGTAAAATTTTATGGGTTTGTTGTTTTTTTAAACACAAAATTTTTAAAGGTCATTTTGTATTTAATAAAGGTCTTAAATTTTATGTTATGTATAAAATTTATTGGATAATCTTTTTCTTTCAGCACTGTTTGTGTAAATCAGGAATTCTGTCCTGCTTTAAAGTCATGTGACACATTCATCTAAGATTGCTCCTTTACAGATAAAAACAAAATAGGAATCTCTGATGTTCTTACTCTTTTTGAGTTATCTGAAGTTTACTTTTCCTACTTGTTAACATGAAGTAAGTGAGCTCTAATCTTTAAGTGGAAAATTGGGATTACCTAAATTTATTGAAGGGAAATACCTATCTTCATAGAGTGAAGAGGAATTGTACCAAAATGTTATGCTCACTCTTGCAAAAGAGTTTGATGACATTATCCATCACATAAGGAAGTGATGATGACAACTCCCAGGTAGCATTCTGGGAAGGAAGTTACTGATAACACTATGAATCAAAAACTTTAAATGCTCATAGTTTCCAGTTAATGATCAGTCAGTTAATACTAGGAGTCCTCTCTTGAATCTACTAGTATTTGCATAGCAAGCACACCATTTTTTGTTAAGAATAAATATTTATTTGGGTTATGAAAGGGAAAGGCTGATGGAGAATTAAGGAGAATAAAGATACCCTTTAAGGCTGCTACTGGCCTGGAGTACATTTGCCACCCTGATGCCTTTTTGGGTTTCTGAGAACTCCTGAAGAGCCCATACAGTTTTGAGGAAGCATAGTTTAAAAAACATTTTCAGAACTTAATCCCCCTGCCCCTTAACTCTTATATATTCAGAAAATGTTTTGGGGTTCTTAATTTATATATTCCATCTTTAGAGTCTACTTAAAAATGGCATCTTAGAACCCTCACCCTACCAATCAAAGTTTATTAAATGTTCAAATCAAGTCATTTTCCTACATGATAGAAGGAAAGGTTAGTCATTCCTTCTCTGTTTTCCCATAGTCCTTTGTTCACACTTTTGTTATAGCACTTATCATGTTATACACATTGAATTGTAATTTTTAAGAACACTCTATCCTTCCACTAAGCTTAGATTTTGGAGATCAGGGATCATATTTTATTCATCTCTGTACTCTTACTATTCTGAGGAAGTTCCCAGAAGTTAGTAAGTATCTAGCGAAAGTGTCAACCCTTGGGAGGTACCCCCAGCTGCTTCCCCAAGGAACTGATAGTTTAGTTAGGGAAATGAATTGAGATAGTTTCTTGACTTTGCTTTTTTTATATATTTTTTTTATTGATTTTTCACAGAGAGGAAGGGAGAGGGGTAGAGAGTTAGAAACATCAATGAGAGAGAAACATCGATCAGCTGCCTCCTGCACACCTCCGACTGGGGATGTGCCCGCAACCAAGGTACATGCCCTTGGCCGGAATCGAACCTGGGACCTTTCAGTCCACAGGCCGACACTCTATATACTGAGCCAAACTGGTTAGGGCTTGACCTTGCTTTTTAAAAATCACCATACATACTTTCTAATAATAGCAACCGCTTATCTATAAGTAATAATGATCCTTATTTTGGGTGCTGATTTCTTTAAGGGCTCCAAGACTCTAGTATTTTTGAAAATGACATGCTGAGCACTATTCTTTTGGAATGTCCAGTGATTTGACTAATTTCAGTGCCTCTACAGAACAGAAAGCAAATCACATGTACTCCAATTGAAGTGAGAGTAAATGTCTGGATACTTGGAGTATTCCTAATATAGAGCTAAATTACACTGGAAGAATTAACCTACCTGATTACCCTCCATCCAATTCCTAAAGAAGTGACTCTTACATTTAAATCAATATTTAGAATTTGATCATAAGAAACATAAAATAATATCACTTATTTTAATATAAAGTAGAGATTTTAATTCAACTCACACATTTATTGTGAATCTGTGAGACAAAACATTGTGGATATTTGTGTTTCTAAGCTTCTTCACCTTTTAATAGTATGTTCTCTGTATTTTTTTACATCTACATGCATGTTTAATAAACATTATTGGTTAAAGGAATGAATTATGAACCTCTGCTATGGCAAAACTGATTAGTCTTGGCCTTATTTCATTAAGTCATTGAAATATTAGTCTTCTTATGATGTGATCTAAGTTTTTGTGTTCCGGAACATATTGTTAAGATATGAAACAATAAGAAACATGAATATGAGAGCCACAGAAAGCCTTCTAACTATTACAAACAGTAATTTCATTACTACTACTAGGGGCCCAGTGCACGAATTTGTGCACCTTGAAAAGAAATTGCAGGCTGCAAGGCTGTGGTGGGCACAGGGGCAGGTCTCA